CTTTCCCAGTGGGATTGACAAGCTCAGAGTCCAAAGTGAACTGGAAACGGTAAAGATTTGATCTCCTTTCTGATAAACCTGAGTGTGTTGGATGGGTATAAAGTCTGTGGAAGGTAGAGCAATGCAGGATTTCACCCTGAGGCCTGACTCTGCTGCAGTTCCTGGCAAACAATGCAATACTAAACTGTGTGCTTGGATGTAGGCTGAGGACCTGGTGTACATGGAGCAAAGACTAAGATTTATAACCCTATTTTGTTGCTGTCTGAGAGGGAGGTCCCAAGGCCCTACAAGTCTCCCAGGCTCTTTCTGCAAAGACTGAAACCTTCCAAGGATCATTCATCGCACCCAAAGAGAGGTGTCCAAAATAGGTAGCTCAATGGCCCTTGGAAAGTTCCTTCACTAGAGAGGGAATTTAGACCACTGGATAGCACTTCATGCCTAGCTTTGTAGTTAGATGTCACCAAAAACTTCATGCATCAAGGTAACATAAGACCATATTCTGACCACTCACTGTGTATATTTAATTTAACACCATGATGGATGCTCTTCATTGAGAAGAAGCAACCCCATAGCCTTCATTGAGAATAAATAACCTGAAGCCCTAGATGATAAGCAGTTGATCCAGAGTCATGGAGATGCTTGCATTAGGTGGTCTGAGCATCTTAATCATGTTCCTTGGACAAAATTTGGTTACTCTTGAAGTCAAGGGCTAAATTCTCACTGAATTCAAGGTGAAATGGTAGCAAGTGTGCTGTCTCTTTGAATGTGAAGTTTCAGGCCAAAAAATAACTGGGAGAATCATTTGGCATGGTCTTTCCTTATGTACAGTGAAACTGGTGTGTTGGACTGGGGGCTATTGGTACCTGTCTACATGTCTTCCTGACATGTTCTGCCTGCTGTGACACGTCATCTTCACATTTGCTATCTCCTGCAATAAGAAAGGACATTACTGAGGAGTGTGATGATGGATGAAGCATCTAAATGCCAAGGAATCACACCAAGTTTTAGAAGCTCAGGCTTCTCTGGCCAGTTGCCCCTTGTGCGATGGAGTGGGAAGAGCTGTGAGCAGCACACCTCTCCACCAGTTCAACACAAGCCTTTCACCAAGCTGCTCTGGAGACAGAGCTGAGCTTTGCACTCGAGCAGTGCTGCAGGAGCTTCTGAGCACTCAGAAAAGCAATGGTCAATATGGACAGGTCAGCATCTCCATGGAGCATGCACATCAAAAATGCACTACATTCGCAAAGATTTCCACAGTTTTACTTCCTGGAGGATTTCCCTGGTTTCCTCCTAAATATTGGAGGTTTAAATATATATATTTCTATATATTAATATATATTTTCCACATACACAACCTGACTAGCTCATAGCACACAGTTCTAACACAGCTAAGCTTGGAAATAACACCACTGAATTCGGAACACTACACTTACTTATACTCAAAGCTTTAGGCTGTTAGCGCGAGGCGAACAGGACACGTCACACAATACACTGAACTCGGCATTTTATTCATTACTAAGGCCAGCAAATGTCACTATCTGTATATCACAGAGCTTTCCTCCTCTTTGGAAACGTTCTCTCAGCCCACCTTGTAGCCCACCACTCACATTTATGTTTCCAAAAGACTCAATTTTAATGGGGTGAGAACCCAAAAAGGGGACTCCTCATCCTCCTAGCCCATCCCTTTTTCTGTTAGATAGTTTCACATCTCTAAAACATCCTAGCAGCAAGACTTTCCTCTTTCAAACACCTACAGCAACACAGTTTTGATACTGTCCTCTTACACCACCTCCCTACCCCACTTCCCATCTCTCTCATTGTTCTTCCCAATTGTCTGTTCTCCAAAAGTTTCAAGCTGGACTGCCTGTTAGGATAGAAAAATTGAGCTGCAAAAATGAAGAACAACTCTGCCTCTTGACTTGCAGCTACTTTGCTACAGGAGAGTTTAACAGCTCTAGTCTGATGGAATCCAGATTAATCCTTATGCATTTAGAACCCAATCCAGGAGTTAGGCATGTAAATCTGGATTGGGACCACACCTCTCCTAACTCCCATTGACTCAACGACCCAAATTTTGGGGTATGCAATGTTAGTCTGTTGGGCCAGTTCATATTTGTTGACAAAAGGTCCCACTGTGTTTACAGCTTCCAAACTGGTCTTGCTGGGCATGGGGATTTCCTAAAGTAAGAGCACAATAAGTAGGATTGAAACCCTGAGATCTTACCTGGAGGGAGCCTGGAGATCCCAGCAAGTGGTTTATGGCCCTCTTAGGATGCTTACAAGCCAATATGAACTCCAAAAGCTGGTAGAGTCAAAACAACATGGGCTGCCAGCTCTAACCAACCTTGATGACTTATTTCTTTCTACCTCTTGGAAGGCCACATGTGCAAACTAAATCTGTTTCTGAAATCTAGCTCTGTCTACTGGTACCCCAGAAGTGAAGAAAGCAGACCAAGATTCAAAACAAATTAGGAATGACTCAAAAGATTCATAAGCTAAGGAAAACAATAGGGAAGAACAGCCTGCTGAAAACCTAGTCTGACTTGCCACATGCTTGGGAAGTCTTCACTGCTCTCTGCACCTTCCCTCACTCCTTTTACTCCCTTTTTTTTTTAATCAAGTCTTTTGAGTGGTGTTGATGGGTGAAGCTGCCTTGATGCAGCTAGAACTATCCCTCAGCTACCCTGGGGGAAGATTTGGCCCTTTATTTTCACAGGATCTCCTTCCCTGTTGATTCTTGGAGCAAAAGTCCCACTGGTGTCACCAGGGGGAATTGCTCTTGGCCACACCACTGATTCTAGTGGATTTATGGCAGATTCATGGCACCACAAATGAAACTCTGATCCTCTTTGCCTCCAAAACTTTTCACCTGCTGACACCAGTGGAAGATGACCAAACAATGGTCAACCCCAAAAAGGCCTCACTGGATGATAGTACAGCCCCTCCATGGCTCAACAGGCACTTCCACTGTCAAAGCATTGAAGGACCAACCTCAAGGAAAGGGACAGGCTGTTGGATGCAATCACAGTTGATCCATCAACTTCATCTCCTACGACACTGCTTGTGCATTCCCATGTCCCTCACTCTGTGCAGAGCCGTGTTGTGCAGGCAAAGCAGAACAACTTGACCTCAGAAACAAGGATTCCCTAATCCTCCTTGGAAATAAAACAGAAAAGCTTCTAATACAATCAGAACAAAAAGCAGATTAGAAGCTTCTAATTAATTTTGTGGCCTTTTATTTCATCAAAGGAAAAGAAAAAGGAAATAAAGAAAGAAAAGGAAAAAAAGAAAAAGAGAAAGAAAGGAAAGTGCAGTGACATTTACTCTTTTGCCTCAGCCAGTTTATTGTTCATCTCTTTACTTTTCTCCTTGTCCTCTGGTTTTGCTGTGTTGGAGGTCTCAGCGCTCTTTTTCTTAGCAGCCCGGCCAGATGCAATCTGCTTGTCTTTGGCCTTTTTCAAGGGTTTATGGCTTGTTGTGGTCTTTTTTGGTTTGGAAGGCTTTACGCTAGGTTTTTCCACCTGTATGGAGGGCGACATGCAAAATGACAACACAGACATGGAGAGAGAGAGAGAGAGAAAGAGAGACACAAGGACAGGTGGAAAACAGGATTTAGATCAGAAACAGCATGAGTGTTACTTATCTACTCAGCTATGCCCTGCCCTCTGACTTCAAGAGGGGTTTTGCAAGCTCTTGAGTGGATTGTCTTTCTCTGGATCTGAAGCAGAGAAATGATGCTCAGGTCAATGAGGCTGCTACAAATCCCCACCTTTCTTGCAGGACATGACTCCTCAGTCTGCTCATCCCTAATAGATTGCTACAGTAGATTGCTTGGGGTAGCTGAGGTGCAGGACATTGAGGTGCACCTGAGCAAAGTCCACAACAGTGTCCTGCATCCACTTGTTTCTACAGCCCCCAAAGTAGGAAGGACAGCTTCAAAATTAAGGAGGAATAGAAGCTTTCAGCTCCTCCATGCTGGGCCCACCATCCCTCTGAGACCTCACAAATCTAAGCACTTAAAAATTCCGGGAAGGACTAAAACTGCACAGACTTGATTTACATGTAGATCCTCCACCACTCCTAGAAAACAAGGTTGGAATACATTTTAATTCAGACCCATCTTGACACATGTCCTTCATCTGAACAAAGCTAAAACTGATTACTGTCAAAATCTGTGGAGTGCTCTGAATTAACTGCAGACGAAGATCATGCAATCATAGAATGGTTTGGGTTGGAAGAAACCTTTCAAGGTCATCTAGTCCAACCCCCCTGCAGTGAGCAGGGACATCTTCTACCAGATCAGGTTGCTCAAAGCCCCATCCAACCTGACCTGGAATGTTTCCAGGGATGGGGTTTCTACCACCTCTCTGGGCAACCTGGGCCAGGGTCTCACCACCCTCATCGTAAAAAATGTCTTCCTTCTCTCCAGTCTGAATCTCCCCTTGTCTAGTTTAAAACCATTTCCCCTTGTCCTGTCTCTATAGACTCTGCTAAAAAGTTTGTCCGCATCTTTCTTATAGGCCCTCTTCAGGTATTGAAAGGCCACGATAAGGTTTCCCCAGAACCCTTTCTTCAGGCTGTACAAACCTAAAATTAAGATCTGGCTCTTACCGTGCTGTTCCTAGGATAAAGTATAATGTGAGGTGCCTATAGCTTTAGAGGGAAAAGAGAAAGCAGTCTACATAGTCATCTGGGAAAAAACAATGCAGAAACCTCTTCATCTGGGCCCTACCTTCACTTCTTTACAATTTGATGTAGGGCAGCATGGTCTCCAAAGTGTATCAACCTGTACTAGAGCCCATAGAATCATAGAATGGTTTGGGTTGGAAGGGACCTTAAAGATCATCCAGTTCCAACCCCCCTGCCAGCAGCAGGGACACCTTCCACTAGACCAGGTTGCTCAAAGCCTCATCCAACCTGGCCTTCAACACTTCCAGGGAGGAGCAGCCATAACTTCTCTTGGCAACCTGGGCCAGTGTCTTGCCACTCTCACAGCAAAGAATTTCTTCCTCAAATCTAATCTGGATCTAGCTTCTTTCAGTTTAAAACCATTACTCCTTGTCCTATCACTACACTCACTGATAAAGACTCCCTCCTCATCTTTCCTGTAGGCCCCCTGTAAGTACTGAAAGACTGCAGTAAAGTCTCCGTGGAGCCTTCTCTTCTCCAGGCTGAACAGCCCCAACTTTCTCAGCCTTTCCCCACAGCAGAGCTGTTCCATCCCTCTGACCATTTTTGTGGCTTCCTCTGGACCTGCTCCAACAGCTCCATGACTTTCCTGTGCTGAGGACCCCAAAGCTGGAGGCAGCACTGCAGATGGGGTCTCAGGAGAGCGGAGCAGAGGGGCAGAATCCCCTCCCTCCACCTGTTGGCCACCCTGCTTTTGATGCAGCCCAGGATATGGTTGGCTTCCTGGGCTGCGAGTGCACATTGCCGGCCCATGTCCAACCTTTCATCCACCACCATCTCCAAGGTGGATCCCCAAATGCACCCGCTGGTCAGAAATGAAGATGCCCCAAAAAGGAGAATAACAGCAGGCAGAGTTCATCCCAGCCTTACTATGTTGGACACATCCCACCAGGAGCAGTGATGGCCCTGTGACCTTTCTGTTGCATTTCTCACCTTTGGCGGTTCTTTGTAGGGTTCACTGTAGAGAGTGCGTATCCTTCTGCGCTCCAGTAATTTGTTATCAGCTGCAGTAGGCTTACTGGTTTCCCCCTTGAATTGAGCGCTGTAACTGGTTTCATGGGTCATTTTCTCCTCTGGTGGCTTGTACTGGGCCTTTGCTTTTATAGCTTTCACAGGTTTGACATCTATCCAGGGTCTGAATTCGTTTCTGAAGATCAAAAAATAAAAGGGTTCAGGAATTAAACCAACAGGAGAGTAGTGGTAATGTGGGAATGAACTCTCCCATTGTTCAACAAGGTCTACTTGGAAGGGCTTTTGCCCCCATCCAGCCAGGTTTATAAAGAAACCGTCTGCAAGCAGCTCATTTTTTACCTCATCTAAACCACACTGTCACATTGGGAAAAGTTCAAATGAAATTTGTTCTGCTAAAATCCTGCAGTCCTGGGCACCAGACAACTTGCTACTTGTGTGACAACAGTCAGGTGCCCTCTGAAAAGCTGGTCTCAGATATGATTCTGATCCTTTTTTTTTGAAAACATAGATGCTTTTTTGTCTCTACAGATTCATCTCACAGAATCACACACAGAATCACAGAATGTTGGGGATTGGAAGGGACCTCTAAAGATCATCCAGTCCAACCCCCCTGCCAGAGCAGGAACCTCAATGAGATCACACAGGAAGGCATCCAGGCGGGTCTTGAATGTCTCCAGAGAAGGAGACTCCACACCCTCCCTGGGCAGCCTGTCCCAGGGCTCTGGCACCCTCACTGTGAAGAAGTTTCTTCTCAAGTTTAAGCAGAACCTCCTGTGTTCCAGCTCACACCCACTGCCCCTTGTCCTACCATTGGGCATCACTGAGAAGAGCCTGGCTCCATCCTCAGGACATCCACCCTTAACATATTTATAAACATTAATGAGGTCTCCCCTCAGTCTCCTCTTCTCCAAGCTAAAGAACCCCAGCTCCCTCAGCCTTTCCTCATAAGGGAGATGCTCCACTCCCTTCATCATCTTGGTGGCTCTGTGCTGGACTCTCTCAAGCAGTTCCCTGTCCTTCTTGAACTGTGGGGCCCAGAACTGGACACAATATTCCAGATGTGGTCTCACCAGGGCAGAGTAGAGGGGGATCCACACTGATGCTGCTTGCAAGCAGTTCCTGACTCTTGTAGTTAGGGTGGAAAAGAATATTTGAAAGGAACATCAAAATTCAGGTTCTGCAACTCAACACTACACATACTTCTCAGCAAACTTCCCTGCAGGCGAGGTAGCTGGGTGATTCAGAAATGTAGTGAGCCAAGATTTTCTACATCCAACCCCTTACCCATGCCTCTAAGTAATGAATTGTATCATTTTGCTTCTAAGGCACCAAATTATGCACAACAGCTTTTGTTAATTACATAAAGCAATAGTTTAAGAAAATGTTGTCTCAGCTGTAAACTCAGAGTAGGAAATGTAAAGTTTATCAGGTACTGTGAGCTATGGCTTCTCTTTATTAGCTGATGGTAAATTCACAAGTTACTGGAAAAAATAACACCATCTTTCATTTCTTTTGGACAGAGTTATGACTTTTTGGAGAAAAAAAAATAAATCTCCCCTCTGCCTTTGACATGTCCCCTCTGCCACTTTCAAGCCATCACCCCTTGTTCTCTCACTCCCTGCCCTTGGCCAAAGTCCCTCCCCAGCCTTCCTGGAGCCCCTTCAGGTACCGGGAGGCCATTAGAAGGTCTACCCAGAGCCTTCTCTTCTCCAGGCTCAACAGCCCCAACTCTCTCAGCCTGTCCTCACAGCAGAGCTGCTCCAGCCCTCGCATCATCCTCGTGGAATCCTCTGGACTCACTCCTGAAGCTGATCTTAACCAGTTTCAACCAAATTTGATAAATGGTCATAGAGATATTCAGCTTTTACTTTTATGAAGATAAGCCATTGGACTGAGTCTAGAGGCTCAGGAAAGCTCCAGCATGGACATGCACACTTCATCGGTCATCAGAGGACCTGCTTAGACAGGATGGTTATGCTGCAGAAGTTCATCTGTTGTTCTCAGGGACCAGTAATGAATGATCCGCTGATGTTCAGAATCAGTGCAGCTCCCTGCCCACCCAGTGCTATATATTTCCCATTCACATAATCCCACCACAAAGATGGAAAAAACCTTTCTCTTCCAAGATAACTGTTGGTTGCAACAGTTTCCTGGGTCTGTTTGTCCTCCTAAGACACCTATGTTAAAGTCTCACCACATCTGCAGCATGATGTGGTAGTCTCTCCTTGTGGTAGTCAATGTAGACTGGCCAACAGAGACAGTGGAGCCTGGGGAGCCCTTCCCTATGCCAAAGATGGGCAATTGAAGGAAGCTATTCTTCATGAAACCGTCGCACTGAATGAGCAATACATGAATGGCCTCATCTGTGTCTCCTTCTTTCCTCTTCAGTGAATGCCACTCATTTGTTTACAGATTTTTCTCTGCAGTCCATTGATAAAATATCCTCTCTGAATGAAGAGTTGAGAGAAAGGAAGAGGAAACATCTTTAAAGAACTGGATTAAAGATGTGAACACGTTAGTGACAAACTCAAAGTTCATCCTAAACTCCTCAGAAGATAAGAGTGGATCTTCTTAGGATCCACTTTGGTTCCAAAATAGAAAATATATTTTCAACTGCTTTCCAAAAGGAAATAAAATAATGCATTAATTTTCTCTACCCATGTCTATCTGTCACTCAGATCCCTTCCTAGAAACTTCTCAACTTGTTAGCTATTTCCTATTGTATTTGTGGCAGAGGTAGACATCTCAGAGGTGAAAATCACAACGCCTTTCCTCAAAATCCATGAGTGGGTACAAGAGGAACATCCAAATGGTGTTCTTCAGCTGAGAGAAAGACAGGTAAAATTCATTTTCTCAGTCATTCTAAGGCCAGCTGGACAAACAGTCCACATGGACCACCAGGTCAATCAGCAAACCTAAGCACAGCTTGCATCTGCACAACTAGAGACAAAGGATGGAGGCTGTAGTACCATGCACATAGAGGCTGGACTTTAAAGACAGAACACAACCAAGATTTATTCATTCTGCTGCTCATAAAATGCTAGTTTATATGGAGGTGAGCTTTGAAGCAGCACAATTGTATTTGTTACCATAGTCCCTGGAAACCTCATTATGGGCTGCATTATACAAACATGCAGAAAAAGATGAGATGGTCCTTGAAAAGCCTGTGATTTCTGTAGAAAAGGCAGACACATGAAGTGGGGAAAAGGGAGATAAAAGTCTTCTGCTACCTGTGGGTTGGCAGTGAATGCATTTCTGCACTCCTACGTGCTGATTGCTGATATATTAAAGCAAGAGATGATGTGATAGAGTTGGGCTGTGGCACCTGTAAATGCAAGAACCAACCTCATCTGACTTAAAAAAAGAGCACAAATTGCTCTACTCTTCTCCATTTTTGCTTTGTTGGTCTTCACGCAGATGTAACAACTCTGTGAGTACTCAGCTCCACTGTACTTGGACCCTTAACTACCCTGTGCCTCCCAAGATGAGCTTGGCTTTGCAAATCATAGACCAATAGCAGTTCTCAGGTGGATGCATACTGATGCACTGCGTCCACCAACTCTGAAACACATGAGCCACAATCTTCTCTGGAAGTGGAGGATAGAAGGCTATTGAAATATTTTAGTGTTGACAAAGACGTTGTAAATATCAGATATGTCACACGGATTCATGCACATCTAGAAATACCAGGTTGCCCAGAGGTGGTAGAAGCCCCATTCCTGTAAACTTTCAAAGTCAGGTTTGAAAGTCATGGGGCTTTGAGCAACCGGATCTAGTTGAAGATGTCCCTGCACATGACAGGGGGGTTGGACTAGATGACCCTTCTATGATTCCATTCTGAATCCTTTTCAGGGGTGCCATAATGATGATCAGAGGACTGGAGCACCTCTACTATGAGGACAGGCTGAGAGGGTTGGGGCTGTTCAGCCTGGAGAAGAGAAGGCTCCAGGGAGACCTTATTGTGGCTTTCCAGTACCTGAAGGTGCTCCAGGAAGGCTGGGAAGGGACTTTGGCCAAGGGCAGGGAGTGAGAGAACAAGGGGTGATGGCTTGAAAGTGGCAGAGGGGAGATAGAGATGAGATGTGAGGAAGAAATTCTTTGGTGTGAGGGTGGTGAGACACTGGCCCAGGTTGGCCAGAGAAGATGTGGCTGTTCCTCCCTGGAAGTGTTGAAGGCCAGGTTGGATGAGGCTTTGAGCAACCTGGTCTGGTGGAAGGTGTCCCTGCTGATGGCAGGGGGGTTGGAACTGGATGAGCTTTAAGGTCCCTTCCAACCCAAACCATTCTATGATTCTATTAAATGTGCACAATTTCACATCACTCGCTATCATACTAGAGCTGGTCTCTTAAAGCAGGTGAGAGAGCACCTACCACACCTGGGATGGACCAGCTACTGCCTGCTGTGACCATGCTCAAGCACTTGGTGTACCAAATCCTGCATATCTGCTATCCGGAGCTTGCAGAGGCAGTGGAAGGAGGAGAGAAACTCAGACCATTTACTACAGCTACGCCTGGTGCAGCAAACTCATCTCAGTGCCTATTTTTGTCATCCAGGCAACACATAAACTGCAAAAAAAGCGTAACTAGAACAGACACGGGTTATTCTGTGCTGGTTGTGTCACTGCCCAGAAACTCAACTTACCATGACCAATTAGCACAAAATTACTAATTCCTAAATCTCTCCATCTCCACCACAGATGAGTGAGGGAAAACAGCTCGTTGGGAACTGCCCTTGGAATATGCCAGCTCCTGAACCCAGCCCAACAACTGCTTGGAAAACTATTAGTTACCCTGGGCCAAAAATGTAGGCAGGAGTGTCCTAGCAACTCGACAGCCTAGACAACCACATTTGAGTGCCAGGCACATTGAATTTACTAATGCAAAGTATGAATGAGAAGGCAGGTGCCCTGCTTGGTGTCTGCATCTCTGTTGATTGTAGGGATGGGGGGATGTCCCAGGGAAGTGACTTAAATCCCACTTCCAGGTTTGATGACTCACTATTAAATGTCTACCTGATAGGGTCCTATGGCACCATGAGCTCATGTTCTCTAAACAGTCCATGGCATGGCTATACCCTCTTAGGGCAGTCACAGTCTGCTACCTGGAACTGGTCTGATGTTCCAGGATATTTATGTCACTCAGAGATGCTGGTTTATAAATTTATACACTCCTTATA